TTGATCGCCCTCACCTCCTTCGCCGTCCTTCCTTTCGCTCTGGCTGTCTTCCCACAGCAACAAGAAGTGAGCGCCGAGTCACTCGAGCCTGAGTTCCATGGCAAGGGAGGTAAGAATGGCAAGGTTGTTTTCAACCGTGGCCTGTAAACAGCCTGTGTTGCATAAAGCAAAAACCCCTTTAGCATGATGGCCGTGAGAACAATGGCACATCTTGCTGAATCTCCCGTGACACCATGCTGTCTGAACAGCAGTCGAGAGGCTTCCTACAGATCTTGTTGCGAAAGCAAGTTATCACTAGTTAACAACCCAGAATTGCCTCAAACTTGCCCGGAGGACAAAAGGGTTAAAATTTTGTCTCTTGGTTGGTTTGAAAATACGAGAGACAACGAGAACCGTAAAGGCGGCGTTTCTAGTATAGATAGAGATTCTTTGCTACTTTGAGAGTGTGGCAGGTCTGAAATGTTATGCAGGAACGCAAGTAAAAGAGCTTTTCAGAGCTGAAAGTTGCTCGATTTAGCCAATAGAGCTAGACCTGACTGTATGATTAGATATTAGATGAGTGGACTCATACAACACCCTTTACAAAGAGTGCAATATATACCGTTCTTGACCTAGATCTTACGACCTATATTGACTGACCCTTTGATGAAAATAGACAGCAAAGTTCCTCAAGTCAACATCATCAAAGGGGGGGAAGAGCCTTGGAAGTCTGTCTAGTGATTGCACATTTGGGTCAGACAGAGTCAAACTATCGCCACCGGGATCGACAAGGCTAGCCCAGGCTAGATGCTGAGCCGACGCGTCGCGCCTGTGGAATGACAGGACTGCATATCTTGTGATAACCAAAAGAGAGAGGGGTAAATTCTCTTTGCTTTCATGTTGACAAGAACAAAGACTCGTGCGTGAGATAGGTCTCCACAGGAATATTCGTGAACTGTCTACTCCGTAGATAAGGACTATTCAAAGTGACATGGCCACGGAAGTTGGTGACGATTTTTGGTAGGGCCTATTGGTTGGCAATAGGCCATGGATGGGGCAGAGGTGACCACTACTGAGACTCTTTAACACAAGGCGAAGCAGGAGACGTTGAGTCGAAAGCTCGTCCCGTTTGTTGTCGTCTGGGTTTGATGAAACGGGGGTGCCTAATACTAATTTGATGAGGAGGTTCTGGTCAAGTACCGTAGCGTCTCGGTTCGGCAAGGACTACCTATGAATAGCAACGGAATCATGGCCGTGATGAGAGGATGCGAAGTTTGATGTCCTCATAATAGACGTATCGCCGTCAGTAAGGAAATGAGACCCAGCCAACAGGAAACCGTAAATTGAGAACCCCAATCACGTTCGTGGCGCACAGTGGGGTGTCCTTGGGCTGAGAGAAGCAAGGAACGCCCTCCGCCAGAGTTGTCACGGTCAACTTAAGATACACACTGTTCGCTCATACAGATAACGCAGTACGGAGTAACAAGAGAGAAGATACCTGAGATAGTATTCATTCTCACAGTACAGAGGATCGTCGGAAGCCCACCAAGGTCAACAAAGTCCTCGGAAAGAATGCATTTAGAGTTGTTGGCCTCCATATGCTCGAATCTGTAATTGGAGGGTCCAAGTCAAACATTCTGGAGCCGGGGAATAGTGACTGGCGGATAGGAGGGATCCATCGTCGAGGCGGGCGACGGGCTAGACGGGCATGTGCCGCAAGAGTGGACGAGTGTGTGCACCTGTGTGAAATGGTACGAATAAGTTCTCGAACACATTGTTCAGTAACCAAGCCCAGCCAAGGTTGTGAGTATGCTCGTGCTTCCTCCGAACAAGCTGCGGGAAGCGACATGATCTATTTTAACGCTGCTGTTTATTGTATCAGCTCCTTCAGGCTCCTCTCAATATGCGGCTGGCTGCGACGAATGAAGTCGGAGGCTGTGAGCTGACTGAACCTCTTCATCAGCCCAAGACATTGGGTCAGCAAAAGTCCGGACGGTGTCCACTGTCCACTGATCACTGGTGGTCATGCTGGAGTGTGGTGCAGAGAGGCTCTGGAACTGTAGCGGCTGCATGCCCGGAACGATTCGAGACAGAATTGGTGGCATCCATCCCCTCTCTGCAAGTGTGGGGTGCCTTGTCCGGGGTCTTTCAAGGGCTGAGACGACGGACAATTGGACTTTCGGAGCCATAGCAGGCATACCGCCAAGTTGAAGGCGAAATAGGGGGGCTATAGTGACACAGAGCACTGTTTTTCATGTAATGGCTATACCACTCCCACAACCTTGGCCTCAGACATTCTTTCCGACATCAACAAGTGTCAGCAAAGAGCGAGCATTTCGATATGCACCAGAAAAGGCACGGGGCTGCTGGAGGGTCTTGGGTTGGCTAAAAGGCCCACCGCCAGCGTCACCCTGCCCTCGGGCGAAATGCGTACCAGATCTGATGCTCTTTAGGTCCACAGAGAGTGAAAGTACCTGGGTAGAGTGCTAGACTCTTCGAGACGATTAAAGCTGAACTCTCTTTCAAGCGGTAAAGAGGTACCAACGGGTAAACCGAACCGTATTTGCAACTGTCCCTGACTTGCCTGTAAAAGGGTTCCTTTTCCGTCATCAACCAGTCGAATTCCAAATCCTGGACGAAGGAGTTGTACGAACAGACACAGGTGTGATTGACATTGTTCATGGACACCTTTAGGTTAAGTGATAGGGTACTGTATGGATACTGTTTGGTGTGCATGCTCCGTAGGTGTGGGTTCTGCGTGTGTTTCTGTGCAGTAGGGTCGTGTTTATGGCTGCCCTGTGAATGGATCTCTCATGACGTATATCCGATGTGTTATTAATTACTCGTCCCTAGCAAATCGTTAAAATAGGAAGAATAAATTATTAATTTTGAAGACCGTGAACGAATAAACATAATTAAATTTTGTTTCTCAGCAAACTCTATACAAGCTCAAACGAATGATGATGACGAAAAGTCCCGGTGTTGGTCCAGGCACAACCAATTTTCTTCTTTCGGAACACAGTCTGGGTGCCAGGAGAGAGCGTTAAGTACTTTCATCATGAAACCTTAGAGGTACCGAGGCGCTTCGACACAGGCCAGAACCATGCGTGTGATACGATAGCAGTACTTTGTGGGCCACATCTTTGTTGTACCTAAGGCATCCGTCACAGAACGGGTTCTCTTTCCACCCTCTCAGGTCATCCTCACACCTGCCATCATGATACGAAAAGCCAATGATAAGGCACATCAAGCAATGATGAGGATCTACCTGAGAGACTGAAGCGATCAAGAAATCAACTGGTTAATTTGTAATGTTTATTAAAGTACCGAGATCTGAACATCTCATATCGTCATCTGGACTGATTTTAGTGGCATCCCATGTTTCTGTTCACACGATGGTCCCTGCTCTTCCTCACATATGTTTGAAAGATTTATTCCAGATTGCCTAATAAGCAAGACAGCCGAGGATAATCTAGCGACATTGCAACGAATCTCATCTCAGGTGATATAGAGAATAATCTGGGTTCGTATTCCTTTTCAACAACGGGATACCCCTTGAGGTCAAGATTGGATATCACTCGTTAGAATTCCAACTGAAGTTATTATTCCACCGCCCCAACCTCGGGAGCAGGCAAGCCTTCGGCCATGGCAGAGAATGGCGTAATAAAATCTCAAAATATCATTCTAAGTTTTTCGCACTTTACCTAAGTCTTTATTTCTCTTATGATCAATACCCTAACTTGTGGCCTTTCGGCTACCTTGAGAATTCTACTGAGCCAAAGTGATGAATCAAGTATCCGAGCTTTATTGTCACTGACTGACTGACAGGCACAAGCGTTTAGCACTTTGCCTCACTTGGCCGGGCATCTTCCCCAAAACAACCCTTTCCACTCAAGCCCTGTAAGTGATGGACCCTGGTTTTCCGACTGAGGTGCCCTGGGCCTGGAGAGCCGAATCGCGACGCCGCCACAGTACGATAAAAGTATCTTATGTACCTCTGTATTTCCTGCCCGGGTAGTTCCACTGGAATTCCGCCTCTTCTTCTTCTTGACCCCAAAGTCGTAACCCGAGAGGAGAAGAGGAGAGGAGAGGAGAGGAGAGAAGAAGAGAGGAGACAGAGCACAACACAACACAAGCACTCATGAGTGACAAATCCACCCACTCCTTGATGGGGACTGAGCCCAGCCCAGGTGTTGAGGATAACGCCAAAAATACATGCTTCCACTAGACGTCACCGCCTGTAACAAATGTACTCACCAGCAAATCTCTATCTGACCAACGTCACCCAAAATGGATCCCCTCAAATCTGCCCCGGCCACCCGTAACTATGGCCAACGCTTTTTCCAAGACAAATGGGATGCCCGTGACGCCTTCAACCGGGCTTGGATGGACTCTTCAAGTCACTCCACTGCCTGCTTGCCTACTACCTTTTGGCTATGACCCTCGCCTCGCCCATTCATCCCCACACATTAGTCTCAGTTCCTGAGAGAAAAGCAAGAATATTCTAACCCAACGAGACGTGACCTACGATAAGCTGAACCTAAGTGGACTGCCCGGCTCCTGCTACAGTGCCCCTTCGTAACCTTAACACCTAACTCACACGCTGAGGCCACTGTACCTGGGTCACTGGCCTTCGCTGGACGAGCGCTTTTTTCCCTCCTTCGCCCTTGGTCTCTCTATCCCGTCTGGGCACACCTACCTACCTATCCTAGGTATCCAATCCACCACCCTCACCACCAAAACCATTCACCAAACTAGGAGGTGCGCCCCCCGGGTCCTTGCCCAGTCCCGTTCCATCTCGCCTTTCTTCGCTCATCGGTTGTGTCCTTCTCCTCTTCACCCACGATTCCTCCATCGTACATACATGAACCTCAAGAAGGCCTACACATACGAATCGACGCGACGATTTGATCGGTCGCCTGTACCGTCCGATACAGCGAAACTGCACCTCTCTCGTTTTTGTTTTTCGTGATCGCTACTGCCGTCTCTAAAGCCCTTGGGTGGCTTTGGCTTTCCCCATCATGTCAACACCAACTACAGCGACGGCTACGCTTCCACACTACAATCCTCACCATTACCAGCCCTCCTATGCCCATTCGCACACGCATCATCAGACCTATCAGCCGAACCCCAGCGCCAATTTTCGTTCTACTGTATCGAATCAGAATATCCTACCACCTCCCGTCTCTTCGGCTGTGTCGCCGCCTTCCCACAGTGCCATTCTGCCGCCGCCCTACCAGCTGTCGCCTTTGGGATACTCTTCATCGGGTTCGAATGGAATAAGTTTGACCAACTCCAATTCTCGCTCTGCACACCACGCTCAGGAACCCAGCCCGCGACACGACGCGGCATACTCTACAGGAAGCATGACGGAGCGTGCCCCTGCCACTCGCGCTGAGCAACCCTCGAGAAAGCGTAGACGCTCCAGAGAGCCCGACTGGGGCACCTTCTACAAGAATGGCCTGCCAAAGGAAATCATTGTCATTGACGACACACCCGAACCTGAAGCAAACACGAGCCGGAAAATTACAAATGGCACTGCTGCTGCGCCCAGCGATAACACGAGCAGTCAGGTGGCTAAGAAGAGGAGACGAGAAGACGAGTCTGCCACTGTCCAGGCCTCGGGTTATCACATCAAATACCTCGAATCACAACACAACACCCCTTTGCAGGTGTCAACACCAGCGGACTCGTCCAATTCTAGCAGTGACCGCACCAATTCGGCACTTAACACCACCGCCCCGACATCACTTTCGTCCAACGGCCAGTATGAGGAGGCACTGGCTCCTCTTAAGCGGAAACGCACCCGTCAACAGGTGGCTAACGAAGCCAAACGTCGCGATGTGGATGGCCTCGGGGACTTCTTCACTTACAAACCTCCACCTTTCCCTCCAAAGAAGGCGTCTGAGGTCAACGTACAAGTTATCCATGACGTGAGTTTTGACTCCACATCACTTGACAGACTGAGATGAGATTACTAACAAATCGGTAGCGACACTACAACAAAAACGTCAAGGTTGATGATGACGATGGCCATTACATTGTCGTTCCTGATGCTGAACTCACAGAAAAGTGTAGGTCTATCGTATTCTCTTTTTAGACTTAGCTAACTCAGTCCACAGACCAGATTGTCCGCCTACTGGGCCAGGGAACCTTCGGCAAGGTCGTTGAAGCCCACGATCGGAAACGTAACAAGGCCGTGGCGGTCAAAATCATTCGATCAGTTCAGAAATACAGAGATGCCTCACGGATAGAACTGCGCGTTCTCGAAACCCTCAAACGAAATGATGCAGAGAACCGTAACCGATGCATCCATCTACGAGACTGTTTCGATTATCGTGGCCACATTTGTATCGTCATGGACTTGCTCGATCAGAGTGTTTTCGATTTTCTCAAGGGCAATGGATTCGTTCCTTTCCCCAACAGCCAGATTCAGAGTTTTGCCCGACAACTCTTCACCAGTGTTGCCTGTAAGTTAGACTGATTAACAACCTTGCTTGGCAGCGTATTGATTTGATTTAGTTCTGCACGACCTCAACTTGATCCATACCGACCTTAAGCCCGAGAACATCTTGCTCTGTAATCACGCCTATCAGACTTTTACATATAACCGCAAGATCCCTTCCTCCTCTTCAACTATCAACCGCCAAGCTACACAGAGACGTGTTCTACTGGATACAGAAATTCGGCTCATCGACTTTGGTTCTGCTACATTCCAAGACGAATACCACTCGTCGGTGGTTTCAACACGCCATTACCGTGCCCCAGAAATCATCCTTGGACTTGGATGGTCATTCCCTTGTGACATTTGGAGCATAGGATGCATCCTTGTCGAGTTCTTTACGGGTGACGCTCTCTTCCAGACTCACGATAACTTGGAACACCTGGCTATGATGGAAGCCGTCGTCGGATCAAGAATCGATAGCCATCTTGTCCAGGCTGTCAACAAGATGTCTACAAGAAGTGGTGGTAATGCCGCCTCGAAGTTAGTCTCTCCGTGAAATGTTCCCTGATTTACATGCTGACGCTTTTCAGATATTTCAAGAGACTCAAGCTTGATTATCCTACGCCAGATACAACCCGCGGCTCCCGTCGCTTTGTCAAGGCGATGAAGCACCTCGATGTAAGAACCCTTTAGCATGGCTCGACGTTGCTCGTACTAATAGACAACAGCAAATTATTCCCGGAAACAACACTTTCCTCAAGAACTTTGTCGATCTGCTAAAGAAGATATTCGTCTATGACCCTGCCCATCGTATTACTGCAAAGCAAGCCTTGCAGCATCCTTGGCTTAAGGAGATGGCCCAACCTGACGACGGCACCGAGGCGGCTAAGATCCGCATGGAGCGGATACGCATCGAACAACAGGCTCAGAGACATGGATATGTCCGAAGTTGATGACCAAAGTCTGATACCCCACTAACGACATATGAGCATGATCACGGAGTTCTGGTTTTCTAAGGCGTTGCTCTGAAGGATAGGTATCGACGCAAGGAGAGGAATGTTTGATGCCGATTCGATTTTGCTCTTGTATTCTAGTGCCACAGCCATCGTATTTCGTCGCCCTTTCTGTTTACTAGGAGTTATCTCTGGCAGTTGGTTTGTTCCGCAACGCTACGACTGGAGGGACTGGTGCATTTTCGATGGACAGCGTTGATGAGCCCAATATGGCTCCAGCAGTATGTGAACAACTTGACTGTTCATCTCGTTCCCTTTGTCAGAAGAAATAAAAATCGGACAAATGTTCCACGAGAACCTTGTTTTCAACACGATCGAACGACTAACGGATTCACCTATTCATCCATAGCACTATGTTTGCTGGTAGCCTGTGGCTTCTCTGGGTTGCCTTCACACCTTGGCTGCCCCTCAACAGTTGACCTTGGGACGCCATAGGTAGATGTGCAGAACAACACAGCAAGATTTCAGCACTATCTAACACTTTGTTTGGAGAGATGGTTTATATCAGTACCTTGTTCGCACAAAACCATTTACTCCGAGAACAGCAGATCCATTCCACCTGTACTCAACTTTTTTGAAGAACTTGTTACAGCATTGTTCACATCGAGGACGTGCGCCGCGACTATGGAACACATTGACGTTGCCTTCGAGTCACTGTCTGTGTTCAACATGCAGGATCTTTTATATAAGGCATATGGTACCAGTGAAGGAAGCAAACAATCATGATCTACGTTTTTCCACGGAGCAAGTTTATGGACACCTTGCTTCTCGAATAAACCAATCAAACAAATTGATGCTGCAGCCTTGTGTTGAAGTTCTCGTCTTCTACTAAAAACAAATCTAGTGTTCATAATGGCACCCCATCGTACGTATCACGACCCCGATGAGGGGATCGGGTATGTCCCACTACCTGATATATCAAATCGTCAGCTCAACCAACTCACGGACCTGTTGTGGATGGATCCAGGAGTCAACATAGCTGTGCCGGATAAAGAGTGGTTGCTAGACCAGCAAGCTCGTGTAGCTCAGCTTGACAAGCCAAACCGCCGTTCCACCAAACTCTTGGCCCGTCTGTCTGCCAAACTTGAGAGTCTGTCTTATAGACTTGGTGCTGACGGTTCGCCAACAGCATGTCTGTGCGCAGCCCATCATGGTCTTGACCCTAAGCTGATCCGGCGACTTATGCTTCTGATCATCGCCGAATGTACTGAGCGCATCCAAGTTCTGCGCACTTGGCGACAGCGTATCGCTTATCCCAATGCTGTTATTGCATGGTTGGATCGCATCGATGCGGTGACTGGACTTTGGATCGGTCGTAAAGCGTTCAATGCCACCTTTGGCTACGAACGTGTTTCGCCCACAAACCTGGTGGTCAAAAGCAAGTGCGAAGCTTGCATCATGTCGGTCATTGGTGGTAGACCTCAGGTGTTGAGCGATCTACGAGCGACATTGACCACGCGAAGGGATCGCCACATCGAGCAAGGTGGTAGAGATCCAAGACTTCTCCGACTTATTGAGTCTTGGATATCACACCAGCATGTTGATAGTCGTAGGGCTATCTACACCGGAAGTGTTGAGATTAGCAAAGAACTTACCAATCTGATCAACACCATCAACTGCCTGAGAGAGGAACGCCCGGAATCTCATATATCTCGGTCTTCATATCGATCAGTATATGGTCATCCATATAGCGCGTATGAAGAAGACGGTAGGCGCGGCCGTGCTCGTACTCGGCAATCCTTTCACGAACAGTCGCCTCGACCAAGCTACAGCAACCACAGCCAGGAGGACAGAAGCACATTTCTTCGTCCAGAGTCGAGATCTAGTCAGTCGAATGCTTCGGTCCAAGAGGACGAGCAAAATTGGATGGATGAAGACGTGGATTGCCAAGCGTTGCTATGGATGGATTGTCAGATGCAACAGCAAGGACTTACGGCCGATGAACGAAGACAGCTCTTTGAGGACGATGTGCATCCTGCTTTCAGCGACTATGCAGAGAGTGTCAGGAACATGTCTCTCGATGATCGACTGCAGAGGCACTTTGCACCTGAGCAGCACAGGAGAGTCTCGACTGCTACTGTTAAGAGACAGAGCGTTATGTCAAATGAACAGAGAGGCTCTACTTATGCTGGAAAGAGAGCAAGCATCGTGCCAGGTGAACAGATGGAAACATCAACAGTCTACAGTAACCCAAGTGCCGTGCCGCCTCCTCTGAGCTTCAGCGGAGGACCAACACCCCCTGATACCTCTGGCAGTAATAGCCCTACGGAAACTGAGTGGGTGCCTGTCTCAGTGTTTTCGCTCCCAGAAAGTGCTGCAGGGGGTGCATCTCGTCGAAACACTGTAGAGCCGACGAATGGAGGTGCTCGAGAGTCTACTACATACGTTGAAAACCAAGCACATATAGAATTTTGTCGGAAATACGGATTCAAGACGGGTATCCCATCTGAAGATGGAGAGCCATCAACACCTCGGCCAGCACGGGGTGAGAAGCAACGAGCTTCGGTCGCCCCGTCAGTTGCGGCGTCGAGCATTTACTCTTCGCATCCTGGGTTTAGACGCTCACAAGAGAACGTGGGTTCATTGGCTCCAGGTGGTCAGACGAGCCGTCGAACATCACGTATGTCGACACAAAGCCAGCCCAAGAAGAGTCTGTTGGATCGAGTGCTGGAGAATAGACGACTGATGGAGGATAGTGATGAGGAGTAGTTGGAGTTGATGATTTCCATGGAGTATGGGGTAGATGTTTTGTTGTTTACTATAGTACCTAGTTTGGATATACCCTGGGAAACAAACGTATAGGACAACACATGGCAGAGCTCTGCAATATAATTCCATTTGTTTATTAGATTTGGTCGTTGATATTATTGTTCATATCTTGATTGCTAACTTGTCACACCCGAACCCCTGCAGTCATGGGCCCTATTCGTCTTGAACCACAGAAAATGCTGTTGATCTCGATGATGGCATGCAAGTAGCCGTGGTTTACTCTGACTGAGTATTGCCTCGCCCCTTGGCCTGCTGAAGCCCTTGATATGTCACTGTATTTGGACTCGACTTGCACCCTTAGTTAGGTAGTACTAAGGTAATTTGCATTTGCACAGAGGTCAGTACTGCAATCTGCCATTGTTGACAACTGGCAGTGGCCTTTCGTTCTTTTCCTCAACTCTCGTTGCTAGGTACCTTAGGTAGGCAAGAGCTGACCGCGTGCTTCTCTTCTTCACACAGTACCTTGCCTTGCCTTGCCTTACGTTATTTAACCTCAGGCCAGTCGCCTTCATCTCTCCTCTCCTCTCCATCGCAACAAACAAAAGCTCGAGTTTCTCCTCCTCACCACTAGGTACTGAACCCCAACATTTCCTCACCCGGCCGAGGATACTGTTGGTCTTCTTTCACTCCCCTCTTGCTTCGTATCCCTTTCCTTCATATCACTTTTTGAACTCTGTTGTCCCGTCACCGTCCTTCGCGCCGCTGTTTGCACTGCTATTTCCACACATCGCCGTGTTTCTAGTAGTACACTCGCTTGCGTCGCCTTTATACAGGTGCGCCTTCATTTGCTGTATTTTCTTCATCATCCGCAAGAACTAACGATGGAAAGCCTACTTTGTATGCCATGTCGTGGGCCCCCAGCAGTCGGGGCGGCGGAGGCAGCACGCCTTCGCCAAACGTCAATAAGTCGCTGCAGCGCATCCAAGGAATGGGTAAACTGGTTGGGATTCAAAACCAAAACCAAAACCAAAACCAGCAGCTCCTGCCTGCGGGCGCTGTGAAACAGCGATTCCTGGGGTCGCAAGGGACATCGAGTAATGGGCATCCCACTCCTATCCAGCAAAGCTATTGGAACAGGCAGAAGGGACTTCGCTCTCCTCTTCCTCTTCAAGAAAGCACAAACGAGGCGACTCGTATTCCTCCGCATCGAAGGCTTTCCAAAGATGTCGTGCATTCTTCTCCTGCTCCGTATCAAACGCCTGTGCAGGAGGTTGTTCGCAAACCCTTTCACCAATCACCTGAAATCGTGGATTCCGAAGGGACAGACGATTTCGAGCACAGCTCCGTGGGCACTTGGAACTCACCTAAGGAGCAGTCAATCGGTAATAACTCGTCGGAATTCGAAGGTGCTCCTTTGCCAGCACCCTTGCATATCATCCAGGCTGTTACACCTTCAACCGCCCTCGTTCTCCGACAACGATCCTTAAGTACCGCTTCCATGGCGCTGAGTGCTGGCCCACTGCCTTCATATGAAACGGCCGCATTGAATAGTCCCGAACCACATGATCACGAAAACGATGAGGATATGGCCCTTGTTCAGGTCCATCCGAATTTATTGACGGCCGTGGAGAAGTGGGAGACACAACAAGAAAGATATCCCTTCGTCAACCTTGCCGCAAACCGTCACCCTCGGGTGGATGATTGCGACATCGACCCTACGACAGGCAAACTCATCCCTCCACCGCGCTATATCAAAATTCAGAAAGACCCCCAAGCCAAGCACAACTGGCGCCGCGCGGTAACCAATTCTGAAGGCTATATCGCCCGCGAGCTGGATTTACGCAAGTCGAAAAAGGAAGAGATTGAGCGTAAGAAAGAAGAACAGAAGTATGCCGACATCACGCAGGAGGAAGACAAGTGGCCTGATGCAGATTGTACTCTTCGGCCCGTCCAACCTGAGGATTTTCAGAGCATCGCAAACATCGTCAATAATGAGATGCAGCGAGAGGATTCACAAGTCTACCTACCCAAAGTTGACAGTGTGCAAATTGCAGAAATCTACAATGCTTGCACGTTGAAGCGTCGCCCTTTCATTGTGGCGATTGAATCTTCTTGCGAGATAGTCGACCGTTCTGGATGGTCCAAGGGCGATGAAAAGCGCTATCAGAAGCTCATTAGATATATGAAATCCCATGGAGTTTCAGAGAGCCCAACCATCCTTGGCTTTGCCTTTGTCGACGATTCTCGACATGACTTTCTAGGCCACACATGCCAGGGAGCTAGGTTCTCTGGGAACATCAAGCTCATCGTTGACCCAGAGCATCGCCAAATGCTAGTCGGGTCAGCACTGCTGGACAGAATTATGTTGTCCACGTCCATCTACCATCGTAGTCTTGTGGACTACACCTGGAAGTGCTCGGAGCCCCGAAAGACGTACGAAGAGATTCCAGCACACAATCAACGCAAATACAGTAAGCTATACTTGGAGACGTTCTTTTATGGCGAGGACGATTCTCGAATTGAGTGGATGACTCGTCTGCTTGAGAAGTACGATTTTGCGAAGGTTGCGAATTTCAAGGAAGCTGTTAAGCATGGAAGCAACCCAGGCTTCTGGAAGGACTTAGTTGTATGGGAACATGAAGTGCGCCCAGCTTCAGAAATCGTGGAGGAAGGCAGGCATTGACGTACAAGAGCCATGGCTATTGAGTTTCGGTTGTCTACGGAGTATCGCGATGGTAATTGCATGGCAGGGAATTACCAGGCCAAGTTTGAGTGTAAAGACATGTAAAGTAGCGCATGTAAAGGAAGGATGTCGATAGGATTCATGATGTCTATGGGAGTCAGATTATGTAGATTATCCATGAATAGTGGCGATTGAGGCATAGCATAGCATACGAATGAGAGTGGTGAAGTCGGAGGGGTGAAGGGATCAAGCGAGCACCAATCACGTGGAGCCATGAGAGCCGCAGTCAACTGAATTCAACGACCTTCATAGTTGGGTGATGCAGAAAGAAATCCTTCAAAGACCAGATAAACGACAAAACTGCTGAAGAACCAAGTTGGAGTGCTTTGTTTGTCCTACTATCGAGCTTATTCAATACACGACTCGTGAATAAGAATGTTATCAATCCTGCGAAAAGCCCGACTCAAGGACAAAGAAATGAGAATCCTGATGCTGTGAGTATTGACCACGACCTGCTCCATTAAGAATTTTGGCTAACTCTTCAAAGCGGACTGGATAATGCTGGAAAGACTACAATCGTCAAGAAGGTTATGGGAGAGGATGTCAACACCGTAAGCCCAACATTGGGTTTCATCATCAAGACGATTGACTATGAGGGGTAAGAAGGACTTCATTCGTCATATAACACCGCTGACAGGCCTTGCAGGTACAAATTAAACATCTGTGTGTAACCTAAATATGTCAAGTCGATGAGATGAGCTGACTCCCCCAGGGGACGTGGGTGGACAGAAAACGTTGCGGTCCTACTGGAGAAACTATTTCGAAAAGACAGATGCTTTGATCTGGGTTGTCGATGCAACAGACCGTTTACGCATCCAAGACTGCAGAGACGAGCTTCAAGGTTTGCTCTTAGAAGAGGTGCGTGATATGACACGGCAACGGTCGGATAGCTACTGACAAGTGGTACAGCGTCTTGCAGGGGCAAGTCTGCTTGTTTTTGCCAACAAAACAGATGTTGAGGGATGTATGACGGAAGAAGAGATTCTCTCGGTATGTCCACGCTACGCCATGACATGCCATGTGAACATGACCAAGCTCACCATTATGTTTAGGAGCTACAACTGGAATCCATACGGACACATCGATGGCACATCCTGCCATGCAGCGCTATGACTGGAACCAACCTTAAAGAAGGACTGTCATGGGTGGTGGAGGATGCAAAAAGGCGACTATTTCTCTACTAAACGAGACTGGCTCAACCGAATAGTTCCTGTTGGCCTCACAACAGGAAGTCCTTTTGCAAAAGCAACAAACAAACCACAGAGTGTGGATAGCCACGAGACTTGGAAGCAACCAGCCGAATAGCGCGGATATGCATAAGAAAGTCAGCTAACTAGGTAGCTTAAACGTTGAAACCTGATATAATAAACTCGTTACGCCGGGCAACGTAAAACGTCCCGCAAAACTCTCCAGCACGCAATCTTTAGTCTACAGGCCTCGTCTAGCGAAGCGCAGGGGAGCGGGATAGCATCACCAAGTGCCGCATGCAGCCTGTGCTAACCTTACAAGGTCGTATTGGCGATCGAGCAATCTGAGATAACCTGCTTGTGTGGTCTGAGGCATGAGAAGAGCAAGATACGTACTGCTCACTTTGGCAGATGGACCAAGATGTGACAAGGTTCAACGGATTCAAGCCATGGTTTGGGTTTGTTGTTGTAGTGGATCGACCGTGGGGAAAAGTCGAAAGTAAACAAAGGATGACGTTTGATATTGGTCTGTTACATGTTTATAGCGCATAGGAACACAACATGTGAGTTTGGTGAGGTTGAGTCAGGTTGCCTGCGATATCAATTGAATCTTCATCGTTCCGATTCTGCATCATGCAAGTGATGAGACGAGGTTCATGCATATTTTTGCATGAGATCGAGCTCTGATATGCACCAAGATTAAATACAATTGATGGCCGCATTTGGGCCGGAATCTGTCAAGCAGTCCATCCCCCCCCTAGCGAGCGGGAACCATTGCCCCTGAGACTTCGGGTTGCATGGGCGCTACAGCGGCCCCCTCTCATAGCGGGTTTTAGAGACAAACACACCTGGGGACGGTCATGAACCAATAAGGTCGCAGAAGCGCCATGTGAAATTTCCACTGCAGCTAACAGACATGATCCCATCCTAGTCGAGTGACCCATTATCAACTTCCCACCAGCACCACATCCATCTCAAAGCTACATTAGGCTCTTGGGAGATAGCAGAAAAGCAGTCTATAACACCTGCTGCAACCTTGTGCGTAGGATTGCATTGTGTATTTTCCTGCTCGCGCTTACTGTGTGTGCTATCCAACAAAGCCAAGGGCCCACGCTGCGCCGTCTTTCTTCTAAAACATCCACCCCCTTCCGTGTCATGTCCCAAAGGCCCCAGAGCCATGTCCGACGAAGTCTCCCAATTTCTCGAGCAGGTCGAGCGCCTGCGTGGTCAACAGATCGAAGAAGACGAAACGAGAGCTCGTGAGCTTGAAGAATACTTGGCTGCCAAGCGAGAACGACAAGCCCGTCGTGAAGGTGAGAAAAATAACCAAAAACACAAAGAAAAAAGAGACACAGAGAGAAAGCTTGGGCGTCCATTGTTGCTTGCAGCTTGACTCCCACCCGAGAGGCTTTGTTGCTTGCATTGATGGCGTTCCCTCTTCCAATTTCCAGGGCAACATCCTCCGTCGTACACCCGTTGTTTACTTTCCGTTGTTGTATTCTTATTTTCCTGTCTTACTCATGGTTTTGTCTTGGCTTTGGGATGCATTGATGCTGAAATCACATAATCACCGATGGTGTCCTCTTGCTAACCACAATCACCACTGACAGAACGTGCACGATCAATCTCACCACAAAAGTCCTCCCCTGCAAACACTCCCTCACCACGTTCGAGTCGTCGTAGCGTTCATCTATCCGAGGCATTGAGGCTCGACTCCCCCAGTCTGTCCAAGGACGACACTGCCTCGCCATCATCTGAGCCTGAAGCAAAGCCCGAAGCTCCAATGGAAGTCGTCAGCTCCTCTCCGACCAAGGAGAACGAGTCTCCAGTTGATGTCGATACCAAGCCCGCGACTACACCCACCCGTTACTCTACATTATCATGGCAGCGACGGCCTAACTCCCGCAGCGGCTCTACCCGCCCGTTGAGCATGCTTGCAACCCAAAATGCGACCCAGCGGTCGTTCATTGGGTCGCAGGAGTCTTCCCCAGCTCCAGCTTCAGCCACTGAACAGAGCTTCTCGAAGGACCAGATTGCCCACGCCCTTGGATCCAAAGACCCTTCATGGTTTCGCCAAACAGCCGATCGTGGAGCTAATTCTGCTGCTTACCGAAAGAACCAAGTCGAGGATACTGATCGGTTGGACATGGCTTCTGTCAAGGCGCAATTACCAGGCATGACAGCCGAACAACCAAAACTAAGCCCACAGGCTGAGGAACCTGTCAAGGAGACTGCTAAGGAACCTGCCACTCCTACTAAAATGAGGTTGGCAAGCCCTCCAACGCTAAATCCTCCAGCCTTTGACGCTGGTGAGGACAAGCCTGTGGGTGACCGCTTCGGAAGTATGCCAGGGCGTGTATCTCCTACTCGATCCAACTCGCGATCCAATTCGCCCACCAAGGGTATGGGCGGATTCGTCCAGAGTGCCATGATGAAGAGATCAGATAGTGTTAAGCGATGGAGCGTTACGAGCCCTCCTGGTCTGAACCGTGCCAATTCGATCCAGTCGAACCAAGGGGGCAGTCTATCTGTAAACACGCGACCCCAAAGCAAGGGACGGCCCGAGTCAACAACGCCAAACTCGAGCCGGCCAACATCTCGACATGGAGAGTCTGATAACGAGGCTACACCAAAAGCCCCTACAATTGGCACTGCCTCGGAGGGAGCACCAATCCCAATCAGCCCTTCCAAGACTATGGATCCTCGAAGGTGGAGCCCTACCAAGTCAAGTTGGCTTGAGAGTGCTTTGAACAAGCCACCTGAGTCACCTAAGACTCACCATAAATCGAGTTCGTCGCAGCCAGCTTGGATGGCAGAGCTGAACAAGAACAAGGGGGGGGTTACTGGCGCTGAAGGAACAACACGGCCTCGCCCAGGGTCTATTTCTCATAAGCACCAAGTTAGTATCGGAGGACTTATGAGGTCTACGCCTATGGGAACCGCTACAAAGACCAATACTACTGGCCTTGGTGGCATCTACTCTCCTCCACCTGGTGGTAACCGACCCTACAACCACGGTGCCAGTTTGAGCATTTCTAAGAGTGCCCCCAAGCTCGAGCCCGGAACTCCAACTGAGGATAAGGCTGCCAAGGTTGAGGCCGAAACTGTTCCTGATCCCGAGCCAGTCCCGGACCCTGAACTCACCGAAGAGGAGAAGAAGGCATCAGGGCCTGCCAAGGATGAGCCGGTCATAAGCCCCAGAGAAGTAAAACCCTTTGCGCCTGTGCCTAAACCTAAGCCCGAGACACCCCCAAAGAAGGATTTCCGCAGCTCCTTGAGGCATCGACCAACAGGCTCAGAAGCGCCAAAGGCCCAAGAACCCGAGTTCAAGAACGTCTTTGGCACTCTTCGCAGAACCAAGACACAGAACTTTGTGGCTCCTGATGAGCTGAAAGATAACATTCTTAAGGGCAAAGCTTCCCTCAGCCAGACAGGTGGTCCAAAGAAGACAGAGAGAGTGGATGAATTTAAGGAGGCTATTCTGAAGAAGAAGGATGACTTTAAGAAAGCTCAGGTCGAGGGCAAGGGCATCTCAAGGAGCAGCACTCCCACGAACGACTCGCCGCTACCAGAGGGCCTTGCCAGAAGGGCTGAGATGGCAAAGAGAAAGTCCATGGCTGAACTGAAGTCACCACCTGCACCGAGTAAGCCAAGTTCGCCCAAGCCGACACCAGGCCCCAAGAGGATACCCAGCCAGACCCCTTCTTCGCCCAAGCCCGCTCCTGAATCCGCCCCAGAACCCGCTGACGAGGGTCTAAAGCGAGTAGTTACCGAATCTAGCGCGAAACCGGAAGAACCGCGGGCCCTGCCAAGCCTGCAAAAGGAAACGAGCTCACCTGCTAGACTACAGGGACGTGTAGGAGGTAAGCTCGCAGGACGATTCAACCCAGCCCTCGCCGGCATGCTTGCACGAGGACCGCCACCCATGGCTGCCAACGGAGGAAAGACTTCAGATGAGCCTGATTCAAAGGGAGCTTCCACCGAAACAGTTACAGAACCTTCTGCTCCGGGCCCGCAGCTGACACATATGACTAAGGGTCGAGCACGAGGCCCCAGAAGAAAGGCTCCGACTTCAGCTGCCCCTAAAGCCGTCTCTGCAACACCAGCAGCTGAACCAAAAGCTGCCCAAGAAAAGCCGAAGCCTGCTACACCGAAACCCGTTGAGCCTGTCAAGGAAAAGCTAGCGGAACAGACACCTCCTGCTCAGAAGGTGGAGGAGTCAACCACTGCCCCCCTTTCTATTCAACAGCAAGTCGCTGCCAAGGCTACCATACGTGGAAACCCTACACCCACAAAACCTGCACCTATCAAGCCTCAAGAGGATGAACCTCGACGATTTCAGACTCGTGATGAGAAAACATCCTCGTTCTCTTCCAGACAGACTCCCAAGAGTGAATTCCTCCCAAGTGATTATCCCTCACCACTGAGGATCCAGAAGACCGGTGACGCTGCTTCACAGCCTGGCTCACCTAAGAAACTTGACAACAACCGCATGTCTCGTTTCATGGGCCGCCCATCATCAAACGGCACGCCAGAGCCTGCCAAGGAGCCAATCCGTTTGACGCATCAGCGAACAGGCTCTCGGTCTCCTGTTAAGATGTTCCAAAGATCACTGCCTGAGCCTGAGCCCTCATCCCCAACAAAGGTTGATAGTGACCCCGTTGTCTCTGTAAAGAATGCGAAGGCCATGTTTGGCGGTGCTACTCAACCCCCACCTCTGGCAGCGAAGCCCTCGTGGGACAGAACAGAGGCCTCAGGAGTACAGACACCTCGCCCTCTTCCCGACCCCGGACGATCTTCTCCTCTACAAATCAACAAGACTCCATCTCGAGCGGCCACCCGTCCCTTGCCAACACCCCCTTCTAAGGAACCACAGACTCCTCAAGCCCCGCAGACCCCCAAGCCCCAACAAACAGCTTCAACCGC